ATTTTTCCATGTGTAATCAGTGATTTCGTATGTTATTTTATATAATAAGAAATTTATATTTTATTATAATTCTAATGTGGATCTTATATGATCAATAATATTGATCAGTAATATTGTCAGTACACATTAATGTTTTTACAACCTTACACAATCAATATTGATAATATTTTAGCTCATTTTTGTGTACATTGTGGATCTGACAAGGTCAATATTAGTATAAATTAGTATAAATATTGATACATTATCGATTCTTAATTCTCAAGCATTATTGTGGGAAGGGAAAAGAGTCTCATTATGGTAGGGAATATCATTGTGGTAGGAGATACTGATATTATATGAAGAAATTCAGATCACCATCAGTAGCTACGTTCGGCACTGTAAGTCTGAGGCATTCGCTTGCTCTTCTATCTTGAAAATCGTTTGGTAATTAACATTTTTCTATTATATCATTTTATCTGCACATTATCTTTCTACTCACTAACTATTAGCTCGACATCTCAGATTTACAATTTATCGAACGCAGCTAATATTCCACATAAATTCATCAATACTAACTACACATGATCAATAATACTGTCAGTATTTTGTTGGCTAGTATTAATAGTGTAAGACATTTAAAAGGCAATATTTCTTTTGTGTCTAAGGAATTTTTCGAGAAACAGCTCTCCGGGTTTCAAAGTTTATATAAATAAAAAATACATGATTAATAAAATATCATTTTTTTATTTCACATCATGATCAAGTATTGCCCGTAAGCAATTCTTATTACATCGATGCCGCTTATTATTAATAGAAGTATTTACATTATGTATATCATTGTAAGTTTCACATCGTCATATCATTTATTAATAATATTAATTAATAATTTTATGGCATTTACTCATTTTCTCTTACGGAGTACAATAATAATGTTTATTTATGTAACATTCATTATCAATAGATTTTTTTTCTATTTGTACAACTCACACAACTTTCTACATTCGCACAAATATAAATTAAAGGTTACATTACCGCTCGAAAGTATTATATTTGTTTCGATCTTTGTTATCTTTTTTTATATATCAAAATCTAATTTTACTATAGTGGACAAATTCTTTAGAGCAGTAGTGTATCTATTAATCATTTTCTTCGCACATCAACATAAAAAGGAATATTTAGTTTTCTGATTCACATTACACAATTTCTATGTTTGTGAATTTTGGATACTTCGCGCATATCATTAAGCAGTCAAAATACATGCATACAACATATTCTTTTTTTTTTATAAAAATCGTCGCATACCAGTATGTGAGTATAAATTATTTCTCTTTGCTTTTTTTCATTATTTAGGCGTTTACGATATCATAATCTTCCACAATATTACGCGAGTTGTCATTAATACGTGTGATACGATTCAAGTATATATTTAACAATACATCCGCACACACCAAAGATTGTTGAGTTTTCCCTCTTAAGCACACAGAATGCCTCTTAGTTCAAGAGTAATGCAGGAACATCCACTCTGACGATATAAGCTGCGCATATATCGTGAATATAGGCTGTGATGTGCTTAATGAACTGCTGTATCTCGCATAGATTTATTCACTTCGTTTCTATCTCTAGTAACGAAGTCTATACTCGAGTGATACTGAGTTCTTCTGCAAGTGTACCAGATAATATCTGGGATTCAACAGCAATTTGATACTTTCTGACATAACGTGTCCTTGGACATCGTAAAATCTCAGTCAGAAGTATTCAGGATATTGTTCTGAACTTTTTAGAACATCATCTAGATATATGATGTTTCTAACTTTTCGTGATGTGTGTATACATGATATGGAATTCTAACAGTCTCAATAAGATAAAAATTAAAAATTGCGTTTTGCACATATGCAAAACTAACGTATATCGCGAAATATAAAAAAAATTGAATTTATCACGAATATGTCCC